GGACTCCTTCGGCTACTTCGTCAGCAAAGCCAAGACCAGGGTTTTTCGGGACACCACAGAGCCGCAGTGGAACGAGGTGAGAGGAGGGTGAGACGCAGGGAGGGGACTGTGCCGGCCCTTTCCCTTCCAGCCCCAGTTTTGAAGCTGCTTTGGGGTGCTGGGGCTGAGCCACCCTCCCTCCGCGCCCCAGGAGTTTGAGATCGAGCTGGAAGGCTCCCAGTCCCTGCGCATCCTCTGCTACGAGAAGTGCTACGACAAGACCAAGCTCAACAAGGACAACAACGAAATCGTGGACAAGATCATGGGCAAGGGGCAGATCCAGGTACGCGCTGGGACTTTTGGGCATCTTCTCACCCAGTGTTGGACCTCTTGGGGCCAGGTGCCTGGGCTGGGAAGGTTGCCCTGGGGCGATGCCTGGAACGGGAGATGCCTGGCAGCATGGGCAGGCAGCTCTGCTTTTGGGAGTGGGGCACAGGAGTTGTGGCTCAGGGTTGAAGGCAGGGAGGTAGGTGGGCATCAGGCATGTGGGTGATGGTCCTGGGGTGCAGCAGCTGCAGGAGAAGGTGGGACAAAGTGAGAGGGGGTCCTGCGGATGTGGCAAAGCCAGCAGTTACCCCCAAGACAAGCGTCCAGCCTCAGCTGGGCTGGAAGCGTTCCTGTCCTGCCGCCCTCCGTGCTGCGGCCCTGGGGGGGGCCCCGGGAGGGCAGTGAGGGTGCAGTCCCCGCCTCTGATTGGCAGTTGCCAGGCAGGGAGGATGGAGGCCTGGGCTGCCCTGAGATGCTCCCAGGTGAGCAGGACCGGGAAGATGTGGTTGGGGGGGACAGGCAGCCCCCAGATCCCACATCCCACCAGCACCCGGCTTGGCCAGGCTTCAGGGAGGCCCAGGGCAGCAGGGACGGTTCGGGACTGGGGTGTCCCTGGGTTTTCCTGGTGGGGACCCCCAGTCTGGCTGCCTTCCCCTGTGTGCTGGGGACAGCGTCACGCCTGGGACACAGCCCTTGACCCAAGGCCACTTCAAAGGGCCCGGCGTGGCCGCCTGCTCCGTGGGAAAGCAGCTGAGGGCAGGTCCTCGGAGAGCGGGGAGCGGCACGGAAATGCTGCCGGGAAGGGGGACACTGCCAGGGGACGGCACCGCACGGGGTGGGAGACAGGGGCTCGGCTTCACCAGTGGCTTGTTGGTACCCGAAATCACCCGTCTGTTGCCCTCTCCCCGGGGAAAAGGCAGTGTGGGGGTGGCATTGGGCCAAGTGGGAGGGCTGGGGCAGGGAAGGGGCTCAGCACCCCGCGGGGATCAGCCCAGCTGCGCTCTCGGAAATAGCCTGGGTCAACAAACATGAGTCACGCTGGGAGACGCAGGGGTCGGGACGGGGACAGCACAGCTCGTCCCTGCCATGTGAAAGTTGTGGGGGAAGAAAGGGGGAGAGAGGAGGCCCTGGGGCTGCTTATCACAAAGGAGGACCCGGCTGGACAGAAGGCTGTCAGGGCTGGGGCTGTCCTGCTGTCACCCAGAGCCACAGCTTGGCCACTGTGCCAGGAGCTGGGGGGGTGGCAGGGCAGGGACAGGGCAGCGAGGCTGCGGGCAGGACGGGCAGTGCTGCTCGTGGGGCTGTGGGCTGTGGCCGCATTGCCCTCTGCCCTGAGCTGTTCAGGCAGAGATGCTGCCCCGGGTGGTCCTTACCCTGGCTGGTCCCTGGGCTCGTTGAGGGCTGCTGCTGGTTCCAGGTAGCAGCAGGAGTGGGAGACGCTGGGAGCACTGGCACCAGCAGCTTGGCAAAGGCCCGTGGTGGGGGGGGG